AAAAGATGGCCCCCAAGGGGCTGTTCCAACAGCAATCAAATGGTTGAGCTGTCAACATTTTAATTGGACAATCCATCCCTTGTAAACTTTACACTTAGTCCCACAGCTAAAACCAAGACATATTTTAAAAAGTTGGGTTGTTGGTGTTACAGATGCCTTTGTAGGTGGAAGTTAGAAGGGATAGATAAAGAAGCTCTTTTTCACCTTTGCTGGTGGTGGGAAATTTTGCAATGTGTGCAGGCTGTCAGCAAAGTGGGATTTATTTGAATTTCAGCCCCCTTTTTCAGAGATTTCTAGAGGTGTTACATCCTATGGGCCTATTGCCACTTCAATGTCTGCATCATTCTGTTAAAGGATATCAGCTAAAGAAACGATGCGCAATTTCTTTGAAAGAAGTGATTTCCCTTTAGGTTAATGCGGTTACCCTGTGCCATTTTAGGGAAGTGTGTCATCTGTTTCAGAAGATAGTTGCACTATTAAGAAACTCTGCAATTCGTTATGTGGAAGCTTGGAGATTTGTAACCACAGATTCGAACAACCAGATTAAATTAATGTGTGGAAGGCAGATATTTGCCCTCACTTCTCTCTATTGCAGTCCCAGGCTGGATCTTCCATCCATCCATCCATCCATCCATCCATCTCCCCCTGTATTTTTCAGGACAATTTCACTCACCCACTAATAATAGCCCTTGGCTTACAGTTACTTGTATATCTTGCTGGCTCAGCATGTGAGGAAATGCTTCCAGAGCTCTCTGGTAAGGCAAGACTTGAGCAATGGGTTATTCTCCTGACCCTCTTTCTCTTTTGCTGATGCTCAATGTATTGGTGTGTGTGTTGTGCATGTGAGTGCAATATGCGCCAAAGTATGTTTGACTCCCAAGTCATTCCCAAGCTGTTCATTCAGATTTGATCCAAAGTTGGTGCAAATGGGGCTGAAGAAGGCATTGTGTGGACCTGTGGCCCTCCAGATGTTAGAAAACCATAACACCATCCCTATTGGCCACAAGTTGAGATTCTACCACATGAAGGCGGCACAGGATCCCGACCTCTGCATCAAGACTGGTTAGAATATCTGGGTGCCTGAAGCATCATACAAGGGTGTGCCCCCATATGATTCTATGTGCAGGCATTAATGGGAATAACTGACTTTTTGTCCTGCTGGTTTCGCATAGTAAAATAGCAAGAGGGCTCAGGAGGAACATCTGGAGACTGCAGTCTATGTCACCAAAGCTTCTGATTCTGCTTAATGGTTGGATTAGGCTGAGTTGTTTCCTACAGTAGGTTCACGTGCTGCCATTTGCAGAATTCCAGGACAGCTCCTTATAACCTGCTTGTCCCCATTAACATGGCGTTTTGGGGTTGTTCATACCCTGTCATGGGAGTGAAACCTGGTCAGCGGTTCATGCTCCATCAAAGAAGAAGATTGCCTCCTTGCCTGTTCCTGCTCCATCCGGGGAAGAGTCTGGCTGAACCCTGTTCCGGCAACCCTCAGGCCTCATAAAAGCCTGGTGAAATTGACCCAGGATCTGGGTCATGGGTTCTTTTTTTAAACCACGCCCAATTGGGTTGGCCCAGGCTCAAGAGAGACACAAAAACCCTGGACAGGGGGTTTCTTTATATCTCGCTAGAAGGATTGGGGAGATGTTTTATTTTGTAAAAACAAACATACAAAAGTGATATATGAGTGCTTCCTATATTCTGTACTATTCCTATCTCTATTTATTTTATTTATTTATCAAGTTTTTCAACCGCCCATCTCTCCCCAGTGGGGGAACTCTGGGTGATTCACAACAAACATTAAAACATAAATA